GAAAGCCTCTGCAGCTAGCTTGACGAGAGTCTCCTCCTCCTCCCTCGGCCCCCAAATTTATGCAAGGATGGCGCCGTGATTTACGAAATGGTATGGGGCAGAATCTATTTTCTTGCTGATTATGTCCTGCCGCTGTAGGCGCCATGTTTAAGCCCAAGGACTATTTTCTTTAGATTCCCATCACCTACTGAAAAGGGGTAATGTCATCGAGCCACCTGCTTTCCCTCGTTTTTTTTTTTTTTGCCCCGTGGTCCTGGTTTCCCCTCCCCGGTTGTGGGGTTCTTTCCAACTGTCAGTAACACTGCACGTTTCTCGTCTCACTTAATTTTGAGCCTTCAGAAAAAAGAAGAAAGCTGAAAGTCTTTTTGGGCTTTTCCTTCCCGAGGAGGAAATGGAGATCGAACTGTAATAGTATCTTACAGAACATTGCAGAGGGTAGCCCTTTTCTCCACACTTCTTTTCACCTCCCTTTGCAGCACAAAACGCCGCAAAAAAAAAAAAAAAAAAAAAAAGGGGGGTTTTAAAGGAATTTCCCCAGATGAAGGGGGAAGGGAACTAGGAGCTTAGATGATGACTTTATTGATTGTAGTGGTTCTTAACTTTAGAGTGCATTTAAAAAAAAATGTGTCTCGGAGGTTATTAAACGTGGAGTTTAAGGACTGTGTATCTGAAAGTTCGGTTTTTTTGGAGGTGGGGTGGAGGTCCAATATCATTTTTTCAATGGGCAACCCTTAACTAAGATAATCGGTATATTAAGAATTATTGGTTATGTGGAAAGGCGACCAAAATATGTTAAACTGGTTAGATTCTGCCCTTTTTCCTAAATTGTGGGGTATAACAAACCGAAGTAACAAAACAGAATGGACTTTGAGAGTGAACATGGCTTAAGCGTTGTCGAACATGGCTTAAGCGTTGTCACCACTCCCATCTTGAATAGGGGGTATAACCTAGGAAAGCAATTTGTACATTGTGATTAGCTGATCTCAGGAGATACCCTTCAGACCCTTTCAGGGAAGTTTTGAGGTCCTAACTTTTCAGCATCCTAAGTAAGGCTTTTTTTTTTTTTTTTTTTTCTCCCCATGACTTTTGCACTGGTGATCCCAAAAGTGGTGTTAGGTAAAAGCAAGGCAGTGGCACCAGGTGTTGGGGTGCTGTCAGGAGAATGCCCTTGATGGAGCATGGGCAGCTTATCATACAACTGTTAATTACATTTCAGCTTTGGCATATATCTTTAGTTTTTAAGAATCTAATAAAAATGAAGAGCATGTATAAAGCATTTATATTGTCTATGGAAGTAATTTTAAAATTTTTCATTAGCATGTATTATACATGAGGATATGCTTCATGACATTCTCATGGTTGTATGTGATATTTTTGATCATATTCATACATCAATACCCTCTTGTCCCCTCCCACTCATGCTAACCCCATCCCTCAAGCTGCCTCTTTCCTTCCTATCTTTTTGGCCGTGGGGTGCGTGACTTAGTGAATTTAATTAGTGTTGCTTACAGGAACATGGGTAACTTACCATGAAAAAAATGTCTCTTCTTACCCCAGCAACCATTAACTGACTATAGATCAGGGCGGGGCTTCTGGAGCCCTCTCTCTTTCATGATGGCACATTGGCACAGTCTTGTGCAGGTTTATGCAGGCAGTCACAATTGCTGTGAGTTCAAGAGTGTGTATGTCTGTATTCCACAAGACACTTACTGTTCTTTCTGTTTACTCTCTGGGATCCATGCAGAATTGAGCATTCTTCTACAGCCTCTTGGCACTTTGGCCAGTGGTGAATCTCTGCATAATAAAATACATGCTCAAACACTGCAAAAAAGATGCTTCTCCAACCAAAGCTGACATGGCGCTGTGGACATAAACATAACATGTTCACAAGGTCCTTTGACTGGGTATGTCATGTCCATTTAGCAAAATGACAGCTGTAGCTTCCCTGATAGGATCTATGACTTTCTCAGGTACAAGCTTTTGATGAAACTTACAGCACTGCGAGTAAATTCCCTCCTGTGGAAAGGGGCTCAAATTCAATCAGAAAATGGTTGGTTACCCTATAACATTTCAGAGCACTATCGTATGAAGGCAATGCCACCACTGTTTGGAGGTGGGACTGTTGTCATGAGGAAAAGCTTTTGTGGGATTGAGTTGCTGTAAGCCTCTAGTTTTATAGAATTGCATTTTTACCTGGAAGAATGATTGACAGACTAGACTCAACATTCTGGAAAATGAATGGAGTGAGTTTTTTGTCAATACTAGGAAAACAATTGACATTTGTTTCCAGTGATAAAATTAAAAGAAAATTAGAATTCTAAAAAACTTAACAGCTTGAGTTTTAACATCGTCCCGGCCTTGACAGTTTTTTAAAAATAATAGCCATAATTAATAACTGTGACTTTAAAAATGTAGTTGAGGGGGTTGGAGAGCTGGTTTAGTGGTTAAGAGCACTGACTGCGGCTGGAGAGATGGTTCAGAGGTTAAGAGTACCGACTGCTCTTCCAGAGGTCCTGAGTTCAATTCCCAGCAACCACATGGTGGTTCACAACCATCTGTAATGAAGTCTAGTGCCCTCTTCTGGTGTGCAGATATACATGGAAGCAGAATGTTGTATACATATTAAATAAAAAAAATAAAAAAAAAAAGCACTGACTGCTCCTCCAGAAGACCCGGGTTCAACCCCCAACACCCACATGGCAGCTCATACCTGTTGATAGTCCAAGATCTGACTCCCTCACAGACAAACATGTAGGCACAACACCAATGCACACAAAATAAAAATGAATCATTTATAAAAAAAATACATAGTTGGGTGTCGATGGTGCCTGCTAGTAATCCCAATGAATGGCTGAGGCAAAAGGATTGACTTGAGTTCAATCAAGGCTGTCCTAGAAAGAGCCTCAAACTAGAGGAGGGAGGAGTAAGAGAGGGAGTGGAGAGAGACTGGGAGATTACACGGTGCGTGAAATCTTTAAAAAAGAAATGCTGCATGCTATTTGGAAGGTGTGGACATAACTAAGTAATTCTGTCAGTGTTTTCCGTATAATCAATGTACAAGGGTGGGGGCTGGAGAGATGGCGCAGCAGTTGAGTTGTCGTCCTGAAATCTTGAGGTCCACAGTTGAAATCCTAGCACTCAACATAACAAGCTGGGCAAGCTAAGCTGTACAGCATTCCTGTAGCCTCAGCTTGGCTGGCAATGGGAACAGAAGTATCTGTAGGGCTTGGTAGCTTTCTAGCCAAGCAAAGAAGATGCTAGCTTCCGGTTTGGGGAGAGTGACACCCAACACTTTGTTTTGGCCTTTGCACACATACAGAAGTACCTGCATCTGCTCTCACAAATGTACAATCAAAAAAAATTTTAATGCAGAAATAAAAAGAACCACCCTATCAAAATACAAGTTACAGCATGCTGAACATTGAAATGAGGACTCAGCACATGCTAGGCAAATGCTCTACCATGGATGGAAGGATGAATGCTAGAGGTAAGACTGGGTATTACTAGGGCTGGAGAGATGGCTCAGGGGTTAAGAATACTGCCTGCTCTCCCAGAGGTCCTGAGTTCAATTCCCAGCAACCACATGGTGGCTCACAACCATCTATGAGATCTGGTACCTTCTTCTGGTGTGCAGGCATACATGCAGACAGAACACAATACACTAAATAAATAAGTACATCTTTAAAAAAAAAAAAAAAAGGCTTGGGCATTACAGATAGGACTGTGTGAGCTACATTGTTAAAGCCTATGCATGCACAAAAATCATGTTACCAGTATAATTACTGTAAAATACAGAAGCCAGCTAGCTTGCCAAGATGTTAATATGGATTAATGGGAGACTTTATCTCACAGTATATCTTTGGT